CCCCAAAACCCCAAAACCCCAAAACCCCTTTTGTAGCTAATTCTATTGAAAAGTTAGATAAAAGGGATTGCAGAAAGTTGGATAAGAGATATAAAGAAATAAATTAAATATTTTTATAAAAATTATTTATTCACAAATCAACTATATTTTTAAATTAAATATGGAAGGACAAGCACAAGTATTCAGCCAAATGATAACACAAGAAGAACATATGCAATGGGAGTTCTCAAGTCTTGACAATAACTTTGGCCAAGATGATGAGGAGAACTGTGCTCACCCAACTTCTCTGTTCTGCAATACCTGGTCTCGCTTTGATCAAGATTTTGAAAATCCTGCTTTTATCAGGAATCAGAGTCTGCTTCAAAATATTGATGACCTGGATCAAACACAGAAGCAGACTGAAGTCTGAATCCCACAGAGAGGTGAAGACCTTTCTTGTCAGAAAGCCGACAGAATTGAAGCTAACAGAAATGAGTCAGAATCTGTTTCTAATAGTTATAAAAGAGTGCAATCTTACGAAGATCAGATAGATATTGAATCTTTCTTCAACTCTAAAATTGTCTGTGAGGATAGGAATGAACTCTACTTAAGACTCGACGAGTTCTCTGAAAAACTATTGGAAGATTCTCACCCAGATTCAAGTGAAGATCAAATTCACGATATTGGGAAGTACGTTACTCCCCAAATAGAAGAAGATATTGTAGTAGCCTCTACTACTCAGGAGGAATGTAAGGAGGGTCTAGTAAAGAAGATTACTCCTCTAAAGTCAACTCATGAAGAGTCCTCCTCAGATGATGCTAAAAGTGAAATTAACCTATGCCCTGATGGTACTATTAAAAATGCATGTAAAAGTCTCGGATTCGAAAAATATGCTGCTTCTTACAGCTGAAGTCAACACCAAAGCTTCTACAGAGCCTTGGAGGGAAGTGTAGAACTTTCTACACGTAAAGGATCTTCAGATAAGGAGTCTAATGCATTGAGCGTCCGTAGATCATGCTTTAGAGCCCTCAGTGCTTTCTTCAAAAATTCTTTTTCAAAGTTTAACAGAGCCTGGCAAGATAAAAGGAGAAACAAGAAGAAGACAAAAGATATGAATAATTTCATCGATACATACATCAAACAAGAGTTTGGAGATGAGATCTCTAAAATGGACCCAGAGTTCTATAAAAATCTCAGGGATGCAGTTATCTCTATCCTCCACTCACACAGATACAAGAAGCAAGAAGAGTTCACTAAGGACATTGACTTCTCGATTATTAGAGATGTTCTATACTCCTACACTCTTGAAGCACGTCAGAGATTCATGTCTCGCCCTGCTTTCGCCCTAATCTATCACCATTTCTTTGTCAATGGAGCTTATAAATTCTTGGTTAGTAAAGTTCAATGTAAGTCTAAGTTAACCGCTTTTGAACTTGAAAAAGAACTTGTAGGCCTCCATCATGACGCAGTAACAACATTACAATAATTCCATTTGTTTTCTGAAAAAAGGGGTTTTGGGGTTTTGGGGTTTTGGGGTTTTGGGGTTTTGGGGTTTTGGGG